GCAACTGGAGAGAATTTGTGTAGTTCTCTCAAATGGTTCTGGACAGAATTGGCAGCTCTAATGGAACTAATTCCTGCAAACATCTTAGACACGGACTTCACATAACTTTCAGGTGAAGTTTTCTTCATAGTTTTCTTCATGTACATGCATACACATGTATCTGTTTGTCCTGGCTTTCGCCAGGACTCCGCTTGGGTGGGTTTTCATAGAGTTTTGGGTCTTGTTTGTCTTGTCCCTGTCCCTGTCCCTCTTTCCTCCTTGCTGTGACAAAATTACATTTTACACATTAATTTGTGTAAGTGGAAACATTTTACATGACATTTAAACTTGCGTCAGCTCCCGCTCTCTCGCTCTCCTGGTGACTGCTGCCTGGTGAATGGCTCCTTGCTGCTTGTTCCTTGTGGTTGTCTGGTGGTTGTTGCAGCTGCAAACCACCCAAAAGATACACCACACACCAGTTAGATAGAGCGTGGGGGAAGATGATGAGAATGGAGATGGGGATGGGTATGGGTATGGGTTTGGGGCTGGGGATTGCCTTGCACTTTGTCTGTTGAGGCGGAATATGCCGCGTTCAGTTCTCAGTTCTCACTTTGAGCTTATTTTTTGGGTGGGGCAAAGACTCCGTCGCTCATCGTCCCTTGATGCCACAGCAAACTTTCCGCACAACTGCAATGGTGTAAGTGGTCTCTGGGGGCGAGGGCAGCATTGGTATGGTATTGGTATGGGGCGCCACGCCACGCCACGCCACTCATCCCCACCTGCGGTCGTGTAGTCAACTTCAACTTCACTTAAAATCCTTTTTGCCATTACGTTTCGATGCATATGAGGTTTTGTTTTGGAGGCAAGTGCTGCGACTCTGCTGCCACTCCTCCCTCGGCTTATTTATAATTTAAATTTGGAAAAAAGTTTTGCCAGGTTGCATTCCCAGCCATCGAGTGGGTGAACTTTACTTTTATGTATGTAAATGCCGCACACACCATATCCACACCCTGCTCCTGGCTCAGGGCCCCCCTCTCTTGGCCCGGCTCGATGTCATTCAGAAAGTTTCACTTTTGGCCATGTGAGAGAGACATGAGCCATGAGCCATGGGCCATGGGAGAGAGCCCCTGTCCTGCTCTTTGCTGGAGCAGCAGCAGTCGTTATGGCCTATGATTAGGGCTATTAGAGTGCAGTTTAGTTGGGCTTATGACCCAGACTGATGTCCGTGTGTGTGCGTGTGGACCTTTGACTGGGTTAGCTGCTGGATTATTTCCCATTGGAGTAGATTCCAGGGGAACCACTCATCCATTTATCTGTGGTCCAGCAGCAGCATCAGCACCAGCAACAGAGTTCTAAGCACCCAAAAATAAATACATTTTGAACAGCTTTATCAAAGCTGAAAAGCCTGCTCCAGCCAGCCCCGCCCGAAAGACAGTTGGCAAACTTCAACCAATAAAAATTAAAATATTTAAGCAAAGCGTAAAGATGCAAAGCTCCGCAGTAAAGAAAGATACATGGCCCAGGTAGAGCTTTCGGCTCGGTGCCGGCTTCTATTGAAGATTAAAAATTCCACACAACCTGCGTGGGAGCAGCAGGGGGCAGCAGTGAGCAGCAGGGGCGGTGGAGGTCTCCACCGAAAGTATCATTGCAAAAGTTTCATTCGCTTTTCTGCGAGAGATTTTGAAGCTGCGGTAAAAATGCCTGTGCAGAAAAAGAAAAGAAAAGAAGAGACAAAGAGGATTCTCTCTCTCTGTATGTGTGTGTGTGTGTGTGTGTGTGTGCTAAGTCTTTTCTCAGTTAATTATGCAAAGATATACGCTTAAAATTTTGCAATATTACGTGCATATTTCAAATACCCGGTCCTGAAAATTCCCGGTGCCAGCGTAAAAACGTAGAGCCGTAAAAATGCCTCCAAGGAGACAAGGATCCAACGATACACACACACACACACACACACACACACACCTCCAGACAGCTGTGCCAAGGAGTAGGGGCCAAAGGTTATGCCTCGTACGTGGCATGCCCCAAGACCGAGACCAGGACCCAAAGGCAAAGGGCTGAAAAGTGTTCTTTTTTGGATGTGTCTAGAGATGGAGGCTGCCCGGAATGGCTGAGTCTGACGCTGAGGATGAGATGGTGGAAGGTTACTACCCTTGGCACACGGATTTTTAATTGCTCGTTTGCCTTGCAATCATCGTTCGTCGTAACGCTTCTTGTCGTTTATTGTTACCGTTAACACAACCGTTACCACTGGCCCAGAGGCAGAGGCACAAAGTGAACGAGCGGATGAGCCCGTTTTGTGTCTAATTAAAGTGCTCCGATTTTAATGACACCATGACCCACCCTGGAGATTCTCCGGTAAGAGGTGGACTATGGCGACAGGTTCTATCCACTTTATGCACTGAGTACCGATCAGATCAGAAATAAATGTTTCCATTAAGAGTATCAAAGAGAACATCGCGCAGTATCCCTACTTCTACCAGATACATCTACTTCTCAGGCTGGCTCTCTTCTGCCACGAATATTACCGAATCCGAGCACATGCCATTGTTTTCTTAATAGGCCGAAATACCTGAAAATATGTACATATATATATATTCATGGCTATTGCTTACAGATTCCAATTTTTACATACCGAAGGGCGAATCTTAAAGCCTCCAACATGAAAGGGGTGTTGGGTTTGGATCGGTGGTTGAGTTGTTGGGTGGGTGTTCCCTCTGAGTGCGTGCTGGTGACTGTGATTTATGTGGGCTGTTCCTCGTTTTGAGCCACCTCAGCTTGAGCTGGCCGCTTTTGGGCAACTCGAAACATATGCATAGATAAATTATACGCGGCAAGCGCCCTCAACCACAGCAAATACTCGTATCGGGTAGAGCAAACATTTTGATGTGACGAGACTAAATTGAGCATGCTGTGCAGTCGACGGGGGGCGTGGCTCCAGGTGCTCTGGCATCCCTCTGCTCTCGCAAGGGAATAATCCCGTGAATAGTATGTTTCAGATCTCCATTCAATTTTTGTGGCTTCCCCTTTCATGTTGTTTTTTGTTGTTGTGGCGCAACCCTTGAATAGATTTTACGAAATATTGTATTGTATGTCTGTATGTTTTTATTGTACGTCAGTCAGTTGGAAAATAGATTTTTGTTTCGGCTATCAACGGATGTGTCCCACAGCAGATGCCCACCAAAGTTTCCCACTCTCTCTGGAATGGCAGAGTTCAGTTCATTTGGAAACTCCAATTCCGATTCCGATTCCCGTTCCAATTCCTTTTCCACTTCGCAGTTTGGTTAAAGAACTGCTGGCCAAGAATCATTTAAGCCATTCCACAGGAGTTAAACCATTTTGCTCCAAATCTTTTGGCCAAACAAATCACAGCTGAGCACACACACACACACACACAGTCTCATACGGAGTGCGGTCGGTCCAGTGGGTTGATATACTAGTACGTCACGGACTGGCATGTCATGGCCTGGCTGGGGAACAGAACAGAACATGCATAACAGCAGCATCATCGTTATATCGATGGCATTCACATGTTTAGCACACAAACGAAATGCCAAAGCAAAAATATGCATACAAATCTATCTGTGCACATTGGATAGCCGAAATCGACTACAGTTTGGAGGCTCTGGGGTCTGGCGGGGTGCTGGAGCTCTCAGTTCAGTGAAGTCCAGCCAAGTGAGACAGAGAGAGAGAGAGAGAGCGAGAGAGTCGCCTCTGAATCTGGCTGGGATCTGTCGACTGTTCCACATTTTGTTGTGCATTGCAAACATGGCGTTTGTGTGCGATGAGAGGGTGTGTGACTTGTGGTACATATACATACATATATCGTATATTGTCTATATGGGTCTGGTCGTCCGTCCGCCACATGGCTGCGCCTGTCCCAATCAATTGTCCGACTGTCCAAACTTCATTTGTTATGCGCATCACAAAAATTGAAGCAAATCATTTTGCCAATCGCATTTTGATTTCGAATGTCGCCTGCTGATTGAGTGGGATGGTCGGATGAAGGATTCAAATATGCGGATTGGGGATGATTGGTCAATCGCCCCACAGTTTATGTTAATTTCCGTGTATATTTGTAGCCAGAGGCGCTCGAATTATGCAATGCCCTTATTAATTTATCTAGCAGCCAAATGGGTTCCACAGCCACTTAGAGATGGCAGCGTGACACCACCGACAACTCAATGCGATATGCTATGCATTTCTATGAAATCGTATAAGTCCTGATAGCCATACGAAAATTCTTATTATCGCCAGGTTGAAAGGATTACAATCCCTTCCAATAATCCTTGGCCCTCTTATTCCATGCTCATAGATATCTTAGTTCGAGCTGTGACTCAACTATCGCGTCACTCACACTGCCAAATACCATCGCTACATCCAATGAAGGCCTGCGGAGCATTTATTTTCGTCAGGGTTTCGGCCTGGCTTGGCTATTTATGCAGTGTTTAACTTGGCCCGCGGCTGCTTCTCCTCTGCTTACTTCTATTTTTGCTTATTTCCCCCCCCCCCCCGTCTCTTTACTTGAAGGAGGTCGGTCGGGTCCCATGAAGGCGTGGCACTTTCACGCCCCAGTCGCGTAACTCATTTTCGCTCTCCAGACGGGCCAGAAAAGTGCCGGCATGGCAAAGGAAGCGAGAGAAAAGGGAAAGAAAGTTTCTTTGGCTGCCACTTGGCACATTCTTAATTTCTTGCGTATTTTGTCAAGACAAATTGAATTTTTATGAGCGTCGTCGTCGTCGTTTGCGAAAAGCAAAAGAAATCGCAAAAGTCGTCGACAACGAACGACGCGACGGCAGCAGGAACTTTAAACTTTTCTCATCTTGTGAAATTCATTTTATCACGAGTAATTACTTTGTAAATATATGGGGGCAGACGCAGCAGATGCAGCCGGAGTCCACGTAGAGCGGCACATGCTGCCTTGCGGCATCTTAAGCGGGATAAAGTGGCTTAAAGGTGTTGGAGGGCGTGCCTCTACCTCTGATCCCCCCCACAAGTAAGAAACAAAACAGATTGCATAATTTTGCTCTCAAAACAGTTTACAGAATGTTTAATGCAACTCGCCATTGGGTTTGTCAAACCGCGACGATCATTTGCAATAGGGACACACATTTTATGATCTTAGAGAGTAAACAAAGTTGAAAGCAACAAAAGGCTGTGGGCGACAGCAGACGTCCATCCAGCTTAGTCGAAGAGACCGAAGCCCATGTCATCGTCCTCCTCTTCGGATTCGGACTCGGCCTTCTTGGCCTCCTCCTTCTTCTCGGCAGCACCGCCGGCAGCCGGAGCAGCCACAGAGGCAACGGCAGCAAACTTGCTGGGGTCCTTGATGTACTCCTTGATGGTGGTGGCCTCCTTGAACTCCACCTCTGTGGTAGCGGCGATGGCCAGCAGGTTCTTGAATCCATTGGCAATGCTGTGAGGGGCCGAGGCGATGGTCGGGTAGCCCACGGACAAACAGACAGCAGCCAGGTTGGCCACTCCTTGCTGGAACTTGGCGCGCAGATCTTCGGGCTTGATGTCCAGAATCTCGGGCGAGAAGATGGTGCCAGAGTCGTATACCTGGCTGACCATCAGACCGTACGAGAAGGGCGAAATGTTCAACATGTTGAGCAAAGTGGCCTCGGAGGCGCCAACTTTGTCGCCTGGCTTAAGGATGGGCACATCGTTGATGATTTCAATTGTACCCTTGGAAATCTTGGTCGGGATGGACAGAGCCTGGAAGAAACTGGTCTTCTCGGGTCCCAAGCCAGTGTTCTGGGCCGGGATGATGACGTGCAGCGGAGCGATGGCACCCGGACGGGCTGGCGCGCGCACCTTCGACTCGAGCAGCTTGTCGCGGACCTCGGCCAAATCGCCCTTGGTGAAGACGAAGCCAACATTGCCCTTGATGTGGGGCAGCAGCTTCTCCAGCTGGGGATTGTTCTCCAAATGACCGCGAATGGCCTTGCGCATCATGGTGTTCTTGCCCATCAGCACCACAGCCAGTCCGCGCAGGCTGGTACGGATGTTTTGCATCTGCTTGGAGCCCACATTGTCAGCGCCCACAATGAAGCACTTTGGAAACTCGTCGAAGAGTTCCTAGAACGGCACCTTCGTTAGCGGCAATAGGCCATTTGTTGTTGCACACAATGCTTACCACAACTTTGATGAAGTACTGAGCCTTCCATGCTGCCTTGTTCTCCCTAACCATTTTGATTGTGTATTAGGGACTCGTTGAAAGAATTTAAGAACTGCAAAAAGAAGCACATATTCGATTAGCGGCGTTCAGCGGCATCAGTTTGGTTTAGTTTTCTGCCCATATATACCCAGGATGGCATATATTTTCAAAGATTTAATTTTTACTCACCAAAGCACAAACTTTTCAAATGGCTGACTTTGACCAAAATGGCCGAGCGATGCAGTGTGACCGCGGATTCCTAGATCAAATATACCGCCTGACACTCAGAAATATACCGAAATATACCCCCTCATCATCAAAATATACCGTAAATATAGCGAGAAAAAACCGAATTTGATCGATTGCCCTACTATCGATACCCACTGGATACTTTTTCTTTGCAGTTGCGTTGTTTATTGAAATAAAACAAAATCTATACCGTACTTAGTCCAAAGTTCATTTTGAAACATACATTATTTTAACGAAATAAGTAAAAATCGAACTGACTGGGCTCAGTCAGGCAATCAACGTACAGAAATCCCATTCCACCTTCCATTTCATCAGAATGGGCAAAGATTACTACCAGATACTGGGCATTAACAGAAATGCAACCAAAGATGATATTAAAAAGGGCTACAGGCAGATGGCGCTCAAATACCATCCCGACAAGAACGACCACCCCCAGGCCGAGGCACAGTTTCAAGAGGTTGCGGCCGCCTTTGAGGTGCTGTCGAACAAGGAAAAACGAGACATTTACGATCAATACGGCGAGGATGGTCTCAAGTATGGCGATGAGGCGCAGACATTTGCCCAGCCCACACCTGATATGGCGCCCTTTATGTGCGCGGTGGGCGGAACCGTCTTATTTGCCTTTGCTGCCTACAAAACTTTTCAGTTTTTCTCTAAAAAGAAGGCCCCGCACGTAGATAACGACGAATCTTCATCTGATTAAAATTATTGTACACTTACTAAACGTACTTTCCGGTGTTATTGTTATTAATTTATAAAATAAAAACCAAACAGCTGAGTGTCATCGATATGTATTAAAAACGATAGGCAAAAATGGTGGCAGCTCTAGAAACCAGCCGGTGTATTTTCGTGCACAACATTTATTAAGAATTTTTGAGCATTGCAATTTTAGATGGATACTGCTTGTTGATCAGATCAGCAAACCCGGTGGGGATAAGTTGCGGGATTAGTTGGCGCGTTTTAAAAAAACAGCAAAGAGTTTTTATTTATCTCTCGGGTTACCGACATTCATTGTGATAGGTCTCTAGGCCACAGCCGACTATACGTGAGAGGATAATTTGGTGATTCACATGAAATAGATTACAGGTAAAATGATTTGAAATTAATTACATCAAAACATTAAACATATTTTATAAATTTAATGCAGGATAAAATGACTGGATACCAAGACCATTACAAAGTTTTGGGAGTGAAGAGTAATGCTACCTTACAGCAAATAAAAAAAGCCTACTACGAAATGGCACGACGTTACCATCCAGACAAGAACAAAAACGGAGAGGAGCAATTTAAGAAGGTACAGACCGCATATAGCGTCTTGAAAGATCCACAAAAACGAGCCGAATTCGATCAGATCTACAAACGAAACAAGAAAAATTCACAACAGAATTCCTTTCAAAAATTCTTCCAAAGGAAATCGAAGAGCCAAACCAGGAAAAACCCGCCCAAATCAAGCAACGATTCCTTCCACAACGAATTTGAAAGCCCTAAATGGAAAAATTCGCAAAAAATGAAAACTGTTTTCATCATCGCAGGCACTATGGTTTTTGCATATTGCACCTATAAAATGATTAAGAACAGAAGAGCGGCGCGTTTAGCGGAGATGGTTTTGGTTGCCATTTCAGAAGACAAAATTGTGGAACCGCTTGCAGCAGGAGAGGCCATCAGGAAAGGACTTTTAGACTCGTCCGCTTCAGTTCTTCCCGCCGCGACTGATGTGATAAATGGCCAAATAAACAACACCTGGACTTTGGGCACATCGCTATTTCAATCTGCCAAAACCGCAACGGAAGCGACTTTTACAGAAATATCTAAGATCTGGGACCAAACTGCCACCGCCTTTCCTACTTCTACCAGCGCAGTAGCTAGCGCCACTGCAGAAGGTGTTTCGAAGATCTGGGACCAATGGACCACAGCATCACCGAATGCAGATGCGTCATCGACTTCCTCTCTATCATCAGCTACCAGCGCCGTTGCTAGCGCTACCAGCGCCGTTGCTAGCGCTACCAGCGCAGTAGCTAGCGCCACTGCAGGAGGGGTATCCAAGATCTGGAAATGGACCACAGGATCACCGAAAGCAGATTCGACATCGACTTCCTCTCTATCATCAGCTACCAGCGCCGTTGCTAGCGCTACCAGCGCCGTTGCTAGCGCTACCAGCGCCGTTGCTAGCGCTACCAGCGCAGTAGCTAGCGCCACTGCAGGAGGGGTATCCAAGATCTGGAAATGGACCACAGGATCACCGAATGCAGATTCGACATCGACTTCCTCTCTATCATCAGCTACCAGCGCCGTTGCTAGCGCTACCAGCGCAGTAGCTAGCGCCACTGCAGGAGGGGTATCCAAGATCTGGAAATGGGCCACAGCATCACCGAATGCAGATCCGTCATCGACTTCCTCTCTATCATCAGCTACCAGCGCCGTTGCTAGCGCTACCAGCGCAGTAGCTAGCGCCACTGCAGGAGGGGTATCCAAGATCTGGAAATGGGCCACAGCATCACCGAATGCAGATTCGTCATCGACTTCCTCTCTATCATCAGCTACCAGCGCCGTTGCTAGCGCTACCAGCGGAGTAGCTAGCGCCACTGCAGGAGGGGTATCCAAGATCTGGAAATGGACCACAGCATCACCGAATGCAGATTCGACATCGACTTCCTCTCTATCATCAGCTACCAGCGCCGTTGCTAGCGCTACCAGCGCCGTTGCTAGAGCTACCAGCGCAGTAGCTAGCGCCACTGCAGGAGGGGTATCCAAGATCTGGAAATGGACCACAGCATCACCGAATGCAGATTCTTCAACGACTTCTTCTGTATCATCAGCTACCACCGCCGTTGCTAGCGCCACTGCAGGAGGTGTTTCCAAGATATGGAAGTGGGCCACAGGGTCGTAGCCAGATCGGAAGGACGTTGCCACCCTTGAAATTATCAACAATATTGCAATAAAGAAAAATGTTTATTTATTTGGTTCTCCATTCCATTCCAAAAAAATTTTAATATGAACTCGCAAAAATATATCGATGACAAGTATTGGCACTGGCCATCCCTGATCTGCAGGGACCAGGTCCAGGTTTCAGGACCAGGTTTCCAATTTGTTAAAATTGCTTTGAAAATCAACATTTTAAACGAAAATATAACGGAAAAATCTCTGTGAAAACCAATGCCATCGGCGAATGTGCAAAACTACCTGTTCGATGGTCTTCGGAGAATGCTATCGATGAATGGTATATCGATCAGTAATATAAATTAATAATTAATGTTGTGGTTGGGTTGCGTTCTTTCGGGTTGGTGAGACTAAATCTAAACGATGTACGAGGAGTTTGGGTTCACGGACTTCTACAAGGTGCTGGGCGTCGACAGGACGTCATCAATGGCCGAAATTAAGAACGTTTTTCGAAACCTGGCCCGCAAATATCACCCAGATAAAAGCAAATTGGAAAACACAACAGAACAATTTAAATTGATCCTGCACGCATACAGTGTGCTTTCAGATCCAAAACAACGAGTCATACACAATCGCGACTTGCGGAGAAGACACTTTGCGGAACACGATAATAATGGCAATCGACACCAGAAGCAGAGCCAAAGCCAGAGCCAGGAACAGCATCGGCCAAGCCCGGCCGTGAGTAAGCGACTACTCAAACTACTCCAAGTTTTAGCTAAATATTGTAAAATAGTAACTTATGGGTTGTTCGAACCACTCCACGCTGTAACCAAATACTATCCAAGCGTGGCGAAATGGTCTCTGCGAACATTGGGCCTTCTGGCCAAGTGGATTGTAACCACACTGGCACATTGGTTGGTCCAATTCCTGTCTGGTCGCTCCATTGTGACTAATCTTGTGATTTTTGGCTTCGCGCTGCAAATTCTAATTCTGATACATTGGATGGGAATGTTGCAGTTATTTGGGTGGATCATAATACGGCTCATACACATTGCATTGATTATAGTCATTTTCGGTGTGAAGCTGCTTATGAACTTCCTGCTATACATGACTCGATTGTGAATCCAAAAGTAGCACTTGGTGTTTTAAAAGACTGTCCCTTATATGCATGTATTTTTCGAATAAACATTTAGAATGTACGTTATTATATTACAATTTTCAATTGTTTATTATTCAATCCGATAGCCACATGAGACTAGACTTTGCTGCGTAGAGAGTGATAAGACCACTAACCATACAGTATATAGATGTGCCAGTTCATACAACGAAAGGGGCGCAGCTGAGTTTGCAGCGTACGTTCCCAGATCTTTGGCTTTGGGAATGGCCGCGTTGGGCTCATGACGTCACACGAGCCGACTGGCAGCAAGCATGCATGTGTTGTGTACGTGTACACTCCAAAATATATGATTGTATGCAAGATAATTTTTAGCTGCCGAAACCGATTTGTTCGAATTTCAGTTTACGTAAACGTGTGTGTGCCATGTATTCACACATACTGTGCTTGTGTGTGGGCTCTACAATTTTTGGCCGCTTGAATTGGTTTTTCATTTTGTTTTGAGGGCTGATGTGATGTAGCGACCTATTCAGGGCCGGATCAACCCTCAACCGGGCCCTGGGCAACCATCAATCTGGGGCCCTCCTTTATTTTGTATTTTTCTCAGTGGCCATTATATTTTTTATTCATTATTTGGAGTTTTGTTTTTTCAACAAAATTTTTCTGTTATTTCTAGGAGGGCCCTAGGCAACTGCTAATCCGGTCCTGGACCTATTCCCGTCGTAAGACTTCATATTTTCTTGGTGTGTTCTGTAGCTCGACTCGACGCGGGTTGAGGCATTGACGAAGCGGTTCATAAAATATTTTTTCGTTTTGTTTTGAAAAGCTGATGTTGCGACGGGCGCGCGGTTCTCTTTTAGGCTAGCCTTTGCCTCTGCTTTCGGCTTCGTCAACAGAAAGCGACAATACACCAAGAAAATATGAAGTCTTACGACTGGAATAGGTCCAGGGCCGGATTAGCAGTTGCCTAGGGCCCCCTAGGGATAACAGAAACATTTTGTTAAAAAAACAAAACTCCAAATAATGAATACAAAATATAATGGCCACTGAGAAAAATACAAAATAAAGGAGGGCCCCAGATTGATGGTTGCCCAGGGCCCGGTTGAGGGTTGATCCGGCCCTGAATAGGTCGCTACATCACATCAGCCCTCAAAACAAAATGAAAAACCAATTCAAGCGGCCAAAAATTGTAGAGCCCACACACAAGCACAGTATGTGTGAATACATGGCACACACACGTTTACGTAAACTGAAATCTCGAACAAAGTCGGTTTCGGCAGCTAAAAATTATTCTATGCATACAATCATATATTTTGGAGTGTACACGTACACAACACATGCATGCTTGCTGCCAGTCGGCTCGTGTGACGTCATGAGCCCAACGCGGCCATTCCCAAAGCCAAAGATCTGGGAACGTACGCTGCAAACTCAGCTGCGCCCCTTTCGTTGTATGAACTGGCACATCTATATACTGTATGGTTAGTGATAAGACGCAATGTCGTCTCTAGAAATATATATCGCGAGTGTTTATCGATATTTTAACAGGCTCTAGTTGGACGTGGTTTTTCCCTCTTGGGATGCAGCGCAAAAACTAATATAAATTTGATGCCTTCGTGAACGTGTAACACGAAACAGACAACACACGACACAGAAAGACGCAAAATAACCCGTTTATCTGAAACTCCAACCAAAGAATCCGCATGTGTAAGCAGTAAACCAGCAGATATAAAGGCGCCAAGGCCCCATTGTTTGTGCAACAGCTTGTGTCGAGGATCGAGTGGATTGGATTGGCCGCTTCATAGTATTAGTGAGTTCGTGATAAGGGAGCAGAGCAGAGCAGTGTCGAGATTATTGCGTATTAAGTTACAACTACACTCTCCGATTTCCTGCCTAGAAAGAGCAACAACTGCGCAGCAATAACAACAACAATAACAACGACAATGGCAACGGCGCGAAATGCTGCTGAGCCAGCGGAATTGGCTTTCTTGCTGAACAACGAGCTGAGCCTCAGCAAGGCGAACGACAACGACAGCGCCAAACCCAACATGCCCACAAATAGTCAAAGGAAATTCCTTGGCCCAGCCGCAACCAGCATCAAAATGTACAGCAGCGCCAACAACAACAACAACAAAGACAAACAGTTCAATGCCATTTGCATGAAGGCCCAAGCTGGCCAAAAGCTGATGATCATCATGCGCGGGCCACCGGGCAGCGGAAAATCCATGCTGGCCGAATCTCTACTGCGCCAAAGCCATCTGCTAGAGCACAACGATATGCAGGACTTTGTCTATAGCACAGATGATTACTTCAAGTCCAGGCGTGGCTATGAGTTTAATCCAGCTGTGCTGCCGACCGCCCATGAGTGGAACAAGGACAGGGTACGCCAAAAGGCCGCTTTGGGCTGGAGTCCCATCATAGTCGACAACACCAACATAATGGTGTGGGAAATGCAGCCCTATGTCCAGATTGCCGTACAGCATGGCTACGTACTGGAGCTGTTGGAGCCGCAAACAAGTTGGTCAAAGTCGGCCAGCAAGCTGGCACAAAAGAACATCCATCAGGTGCCTAGGGAGACCATTCAGCGCATGCTGGAGCGCTATGAGAAGACGAGTGTGCCGGAATTAATCAAGGTAAAATCAAGAATCAAGTGCAAGTCCAAGTTTTGTTTGCTCTATTTTCAAGCCCTTCCTATCTATCCTATTCCTATTTGCAGTTGCTGAAGGAAACCAAATACACAGCAAAGTTGCCACAGCTACGGCAATACCCGCCACTGCCGGCGGTGCCCACGCCAGCCACACTGCCAGAGAACGACAATCCCGATGGGCTATCGCCAAACGGTTTCAAGCTGAATGTCAATGCCCGCACTTGGGTGCCCTACGAGCAGGGTGCGCCCGCCTACTGGTCGCGATCGGACGGTGATCAGGCCAGAGCCAGAGCCTCCAGACTAGACCCAGCTGCTGTTGGAACTGACTCGTACGAGAAATCGCTTATAGAGCTGCTACGCGATGAGCCGGCCGAAAAAGCCCCACCGCAGGCTGGCTCCAGTCAACCAATGAAAACTTTCGAGCGTCACTGCCTGAATTGTCCCAACGAGCCCTCAAATTTCGTGTTGCTGCGTCAAATGTACCCGAACAAGCTGCTCACAGGGCTCTGGGATCTCTATGTGAAGTGCAAAACGAATGTGGACTGGGCCGTGGACATTCTAATCAAAGAGGATGAGCTGAATGCCGCGTCGGGATCGGACTTTGATGCGTCCATGCTGCCAGAGGAGTCGGCACAGTTCCAATGCGACTGTGGCAGAGCTGTGAAAAAGGAGGAGGCACCACCGCCGCCACGTTCACCATCGCCAACGGGATTGGTGGCCAAGTCCATGCCCAAGACCCAACGCCAGAGCCGTAATAAACGCACCTCGGCGCCGCCCAATAAGGAGCTGCAGCTGCAAGTTGAGAACTGCTTTGTACTCGGTTTGTGATGCTTCCAATGGCACACACTGCCCTCAAGCTTATCGATTTGATTTGTGTTTTTAGGTGATGAACAATATTCGGAGCACACGCGAAAGATACGCGACATTCGCAATGGCATACTCGATCAGCCGTTGATTGTTCAGCCCTCGGAAGTCGTCGAAGCGACGGAGGAGGAGGAGGATCCCGAGGAAAATAATCTGGAGGAAATGGACCTGGGAGCCACACTGATCAAGCAACTACGCACTCTGTTCCATACGGACGGTGAGATGATGCCGCCAGAAGAGGAATTGCCCGCCACCAAAGTGTTTGTGCCACGGCAACTGCTGAAGCAGCTGTACATGCTGTGGCTGGAGGGCGTCTACAACCAGCTGGAGGAGCAGCGTCAGAAAACGCTGCGCGACGATGAACAATTCGCCCGCCTACTGAAGCACCCCGAATACGCCGAGTGCAGTGAGTCCCCGAGCAATGTGAATGAACTGCTCGACATGGAGCTCGCCTGGAGCATTTACAATAGCGAGCAACAGGCCGCCAAGCAGGCGTCAGAGATGGCCGCCCGTCAGCAGCCGAACGACATTGCCACCCATTTGACCAAAATGAAGCTGTGCGAGAAGTTTCCGAATATACCCAACGACACGGTGCTCGAGATATTCTCGGCCACTGGCAGCAACTATGGCAAAACCGTGGAGGTGCTCGACAGCAATGTTCAAAGCTCTCTCAACGAGGCGGAACTCTATGATAAGGCGCTGCGCGAGAGCGAGAAGGTATGTCATTCATTATGCTCTGTCTCTGGGTTCCATTAAACCACATTTTCTTGTTCACTTTTTAGGTCGCTCTGCAGGAGCAACAGCAACAGCAAAAGTTACAGCAAACCATCAAAGTCAGCGAGAATGCGGCAGGCCAAAGCCAGCGTTGCGGTTCGTCAGCGTCGTCGAGCAGCCGCTCGCCGCAGCTGCACGAGGAGGCAAAGTGCGCTGCTCTGCGTGACTTTGAGGAGACCCGCAATCTGGCCGCCCATCATGCCCAGCTAAAGGCCGAATGCTATCTGAAGGCCAACCAGGCCGTGCAGAAGGGCAACGGGAACGTGGCGCTGTACTACTCGCAGATAGCCAATCTGCACAAGACAAAGATCGATGTGTTCAACCATCGGGCCGCCACCTGCATCATGGAAGTGCACAAGCACACCCAGAACAATCCAGATCTGCTGGACCTCCACTATCTGCACACTGTGGAGGCCATTAGCTGTCTAGATCTCTTCCTCGATCGCCACATAACCAAGCTGCGCAAGAGTACGCGCGTGTACAAGCATGTGTTCATCATAACAGGACGGGGACTGCACAGCGCCAATGGAGTGTCCACCATCAAGAACAAGGTCAAGTCCAGATTGGGCGAGCGACGTTTACGGTGAGTCCTGTGAGAGATACACATTTATGGGTAATTTCTTAACGTTTGCATTTCATCACTGCAGCTGGCAGGAGGTCAATCCGGGACTGTTGCGTGTAAAGGTGTTTTCTGCATCGCGACACTCGGAGAACTTCTGATCGACAGCCATCAATGGTAAAGGTCGGAAGACGGGCAGCAGCAGCTAATCGGTTTCTGTAATTACCCTTTGTATTGATTCTTACAAAATTCATAGTTAGCCCATTTTGCTCGCTGTGTTTTTATATTTTTTTATTTTAAGCAAGAGACATTCCTCCCATTTCGTTTTGTATTCCTATCATCGAAGTTTTGTGTGAAACACGCGAATCGGGCTAAATGAAGTCGGTAAACAGGTGCTATATAGGTGCTTGCCATAGCCAAAAACCCAACTCAAGTATCCATCAAAGAGATATATTTTTGTACAACTGCACAAGTTATTATATTAGAATAAGTCTATGCCATAAGTTAGCCCTAATCCAAAAAATTACAATCAGAAATGTTTTCTTTTGCTAAGCAATTTTTCCAGAATTAATCCATGAGTCTGCCTGCTAAATCCTAGTTTCATGCAGGTAAACCATAACGAATATTATTCGCGATCAGGTACTTCAGCGCTCGTACAGCAACCTGATACCCTTACCTACTAGAAACATCTGCCAGCTACGGAAAATCCCAACGAATTCCAGTGGAAACCCAAGTTTTTGTTTAATGTTTGAAACATGGAAAGACGATCTTTTATTAAAGACTACAAAACGTAAGATTCCTGGTCCTGTTCCAGGTCTGTTCTCCGGAAACATTGTAAATTTAGTTCATTATCTTCAGATACACAAGCTGTGTGTAAACAAAGCGAAGAATGCCTGGATATGGGCATCGTATTTGTTACTTAGCCTAGAACTTGGTCGATGGCAGTCTAAGGAGTGCTCCTTTGGGCTTTGGTTGGATCTAGCGGTAGCTAGGTAACGCCGCTTTGCGCGGAGACGTCGCTGGCGATGGCATGTTGGTGCTGACTGCTGTTCCCGGTGACTGATTCTCTTTGCCGGTGGTGTGTATGCGATTGCCGATGGCCACAAGCTCCATTAGATTGGCCCGCACACGCTTGGGCGTGAAACGTGAGGAGCCGGGGCTGTTGGGGTTTTCGCGTGGCGGTGTGTTGAGAAAGACGCCCTCGAAAATGGTCTCCAAGCTGTTGTTGCGACTCAGGGCCGCCACGGAGTCGTCGGCGTCGCTGGGGGGACTGATTTGTGCGTTGATTTCATGCAGGGCCACAAAGTCAGCATGGTTTTGGCAGGGTGGCTCCTCCGGCTGGTGCTGCTTTGGAGTCTCAATGTCCGAGATGTTCAGGTCATCGATGGGCGATGGCGTGCGTCCATGTGGCGAGAAGGCGCGTATCTCAAAGGCCGGCAATTCGTCGCAATTGCTCGGCTCCTCAACGCCCAGATCACGCTCGAAGGCCAGCGACAGGTCACTCTCGCTGTCCACCGACGACAGCGAGCACTGCAGGCGAAAGGAGCTGTTATGCTGCTGCTCCATGTCGCACATGTGTGTATTTACCGAATCCGATGCGTCCATGTTGTGGCTCGAGTCCTTCGTCTGTCCTATATTTATATGCGTTGCTTTCGAGGCGGCCATATTACTGTTTCTGCCTGCGCGGAAATCTACGCCTGCCAGGTAATCGAATCTGTACGCTGTCCTTTTTCTGCCGCTCCAGTCGGCCGGGATTTGTATATGTTCGAAATATAAATTTTTTGTTTTTAAATCCAGTCAATATCGAAATTAGAGATGTCGAATAGATGTATCGATATCTATCGATTGAGATATGAAAAGAACCGAACCACCAATTATAAGCTAGTCGAACCAGTATTTTTAAACATACAGGCAAAAAATATATTTAAATTAAAAACGTACTACTTAAATTGTGGATAGTCCGGCCAGTTTTGGTGACGGGACGGAGGAACAAATCAAAATATCACACAACTCGATGTTTCTAAGAGATGGCAGTCCAAAAAATAACGAATATAAAAATACCAAAGAATTTAGTACGGCAGCCCTTTTCACATTTTGAGCGCCAAATTTCTTAGATTTTTGTATGCAAACGACGCAGTTTCAATTACAAGCTCGCGACTTGGCCAAAACTCTCAACGTGGGTGATCGATACGAGCTGCAGCTTGTTCAGGTGACCAATTCGCATAGCTTCCACTAGTGGATGTATGACGACGACGACTACGACTCCTGTGATGTCATGTCGTGAAACTTGGAGTAAGGCAGACGCTTTTTTCCGCTCAGTTTATGTTATTCACAGTTCCTTGCAGTGAAACCTACAAGTACTTCGAAGCAACGACGTCAACAATGCCGCCATCCCTGCTGACGCCCGGGCACCTGTGAGTCGTCCGCTCCAACAAGTCCTCAAAGTGGCAGCGTGCGCGCCCAAGTCGGACAATACCCGAAACACTGTAGATGTGGAGCTTATTGATACGGGCGTAATGGTTACAGTTTGCACATTTAGTCGGCTGGGAAGCTATAGCAGACTTTTTGCCAAATTGATGGCCATCAAGGTAGGGCGGTACGGAAGATAGGGAACAAAATTGAAGTCAGTTTGAACACTTGAATGTTTCAGGACAACAACGCGCATGTGATGCTTGTGAATCCGTATAACGTGCATCTAAGCAGGTCGCTGATAGATTCCGGCCTGGTGCGTCGCTGTTTGCAGGCCTAGCAGCTCCTTTTTTAGATCTTAGATCTCCTCTACTTCGATGGATACCTAAAAACAAAAGCAAAAATCATTAAACACAATTTGGAAATCGCTTCTGATTTTTTGCTCTGAATACCTTCAACATATCAGCCCATATCTATCGGAAATACAATGGTAAGTATTTTTCATAACTTTTATTCGAATCTGTCTTTTGGTTGTTGGTTTTTGTATATGCTTAGTTTGCTTGTTGCTCATTCAACAATTTAATTAATGAAGTTATCGTACATCGTCATTAAAAGTCATAAATTGTGGTATATACGATATAGCATGTACTTTAGTTTAGTTTAATTTAATTTAGTTTAGTTTATACATCGACTTATAGAACTCGTCTGCCAACTCCGTTGCCTTCTGCCAAGTGCAATGAAATATTTATCTATTTAATATATATATGTATTTAAATATTTATAATTCTCGAATGTGCTAGCTTTTAGCTGCCCATCGAAACGCAATTGTTGCTGTCTGTCATAAAAACAATTAATAGTTAAATTATCTAACGAATAGTTTAAAGCGTATTCAAAGTATACATTAAGTTACAATAGTTTTAGTTCTTTGGTTTACATTTACCTACAATTACAATTAAATACAAATCGTTAAAGTAATGCCTAGAAAACACATTTCGTTTCTTGGAAGTTTTCATTTTTGTTTTGTTTTTTTTTTCATTTTCTTTCTTTCATTTCTGTAATTAATTTATTTTGAGCGCAAATTTAATTTTACTAACACTTTTCGTTTTCTTTGGTTTTGTCTGTATGTAGTATGCATAGAGTGAAACACGAAGGGTTTGTTTTTGCCACCAATCCTGTGCCTAAACATTTAATTTAATTTTATTAAATTCAATTTCATGTTTGTTCGCCTGTGTTGAACGATATATGTATATTTATGAATGTATTTATGTGTGTATGTATGTATGTATGTATGGACTCGTACATATGTATGGTTTTTCTTCGATTTTATTGCATAATTTTGATGTGGGGTTTTGCTTGAGGCTAGTTGCCCCTTCGCATGAGTATCTAACGGAGTACAATTATCCAAATACATACACCAGACATTTCCCTCCGCCCTGGAGCAGTTTTACTCGCGTCTCGAAGGACCAGAAAGGCGAAACCGAGTTGATTTAATGGCAAAGGAAACCAAATTCTCATATTTTCTAGGACTGTTTGCCAATGTTTTTGAATCCGCCATCTGTCATCTCGTTTCCGCGTTCTCTCCCTTAAGTTTTGGCACAAACTCTGAGCAATGCTCTTCCTCTCGCGCCGGTCAGTCCTCGTGCTTACTTCATGCCCAGCAGCCGCTTGAACGCGCGCCTATAGTCCAGATTAAAGATGGTGTAGATGACCGGATTGAGGCCGGAGTTGATGTAGCCCAGCCAGGTGATGAAGTTCTTAAACTTGTCGCTGGGACAGCAGCTCTGGCAGAACGGCAGGATGACGTACATGAGGAAGAAGGGCAGCCAGCAGATGACAAAGACGCCCATGATGATGCCCAGGGTACGGGCTGCCCGCCGCTCCTTGGACAATGAGATCTTCTGTTTCTCCTCGATGAACTGGTTCACGCCGCTTGGCTTCTTCTGCAGCGGTGTGGCGGCCACTGCACCGGCACCAGTCGATGATTGCGGCGGTGTCAGCTTGAGCGACGTCTGCTCCTCCGCCTGGGTCACACAGACCTGCAAAAAAGTCAGTCAATCACATAGTAAATGATGATCTACAAATTGTTTCCTCAACGCCAACTTTAGTCAAAGTTAAACCACAATTTTTAATGGTAATAAGAATGTGCCCTCACCTGAATACATCCTTTGGGATCGCTGCCGCTCTCTGTGCTGATCTCCGCATCGGATTTCCCTGCAGCATTGCCGCTCCCACTGCCGCCAGCTGGCAGCAGCTGCTGCTCGCCATGTGGCTCGCAGGTGGACGAGGACTGGGACTTGCGACCACTCCGGGCCTTGCCATGCTTAATGGAGTCCTTGATCTTTGAGCGACGCGACTTCTTCACCAGCACCACCACATGTTGCTGCTGATCGTTGGTGGTGGCCGTCTTGGAGCCCTCCTGCTGGCCATGGGTCTCGCTGCTGATGCTCTCCTGGTCGTTCTGAATCATGGGCGTGGAGAAGTTGGCCCGATCCCGGCCGCAGCACAGCCAATTGGTCAGTGCGCGAGACTTCGATGATGTTGCTGCAGCCGGCGAGGAGTTGGTGATGGGCTCCAGCTCCGTGGACTTGAGGGCCATCGTGTTCAGCTTGGTGGCCTTGGCCCGATCGCGCAAACGTCGTCGCGTGGCCACGAAGATCTCGATGTAGACAATCGTCATGATAGCCAGCGGTATGAAGAACGAGCCCAGCGAGGAGTAGATGACGTAGCCCCGTTGCGAGGTGAGCTCGCAGGGCGTGGCGCTGGTGAACTCGTCGGGCCAGTCGTTCCAACCGATCAGCGGCGGACTGCTGATCACCAGCGAGAGCACCCACACGCCGGATATTAGGAGCAGCACTCGGCCCACTGTCCGCTTCTGGGCATAGTTAATGGGATCCGTTATGGCCCAGTAGCGGTCCAGGGCTATGGCGCACAGATTGAGAATGGAGGAGGTGCAGCAGAGCACGTCGCAGGTCAGCCAGAGCTTGCACAGGTGTATGCCGAACTCCCAGCGGCCCAGGATCGAGTAGGCCACGTTAAACGGCAGCACCAGCAGGGCCACCGTCAGGTCTGCCACCGCCAGCGAAACGATGAAAAAGTTCTGAACAATCCGCAGCGGCTTGTAGGTGAACACACTGAGAATAACCAGGATATTTCCTATAATGGTTAGCACAATGATTATCGACAGAACCAGTGCGGTCAGCAGAGCCTCCCACTCCGGCACGGCCAGCTGCAGGCCGAGAATGCTGGCATGCAGCTCCTCCACGGCTCCGGCGCCGCATTCCTCCGACTCGCCCGGACTGGTGCCCGTCGCCGTTGTGAGTGCAGCTGCCACTGTGGTCAGGCTCTCCACCAGCGAGCCGGATATATTGGCCGCTGTTTCCGTGGCTGATGCGCCGCGTCCGCCGACCTCGTCCGCCCGGCTGCTGGCGGCGGCGGCGGCGGCGGCGGCAGCGGCGTTAGCAGCACTCACAACCGTTCCCGATTCGTTTGTCGATCTGCCTGCTGCTCCGCCCGGCGCTGTGCTGACAGCGGCTGCCGCGGTTAAAGCCGCCGCTGCCACCGTTGTGGTGACATTTATGAACAAGATTTGATCTGCCGATGGCATTTTGGCATTGCCTGCCCTGCCCTGTCCTGTCCACCCGCTCTCGGATCACTCGTACATGCGTCTATATAGGGGGGGAGGGGTGGAATGTGTGGTTCCGACTGGTGTCCTGAAACGAGAGTTGGCGTGAAAAACAGGATTAATGTAGCTGCAAAGCAGAGAGGATGTGGGTCAGCCATCCGAATCCGTTTTCCATTAAGCTGTTCGCTCCCCCCGCCCTCCGCCCACCACCAATGGCCCCAGTTGGAAGTTGGAAGTTGTCAGCCATCAGCAGCGGAGGGGAAAAAGTTTTGTCATCGAATCCAAAGCAAATTGCAAATGTGAAGGACTCAAGCACAAGGCAATCAGGATCATGTCAAATCCAAATTATTTACAACTTGTCAATAAGCATGCAAAGATTCCCCCACAATTCCAGCCAAGACAGCTGAATGAATGATGGCACCAGAACCAGAGCCAGAACCAAAGCGGAACAAGGAACGGAACAGCACGGAACTTGGAGGGAAACTTGGTCAAAAAGGTCAAGTTGATGGTGTGCGGGCGGTGCGGCATTTCCATTGAGGTGCGGGCAGGGAGCTGTGAAAAGGTATTAGGACTTCGCTTGTCAATGCCGTGGAAACGCGACCAGAAGGTCATTAACAATTTAAATGACGAATCTTCGCGCGTTTAACTCTGGGTTAGATGAATTATTTAGAAGTAATTAAAAATGTGAAGCAGCCCGAAGCACTCAAGGAAAAGCTGTCCGAGATGTGAACTGGAGACTCTAAGTAAACGATTTTACCGAGGAGATACTCCAAGATATTCCGCACAATAGCTTGTTGATCCCTTTTCTCTTGGGGTTCTCCTTCACCCCATCAATATGAGCCAGAGCCTTTCTGTCCCCCCCCGCTCATAATCATCCAATAATTGTTGCTCTGCTCTCGCGTCTCCTCGCCCACTTGACACGTCTAGCATATCCGCTAAGCTCTGCCCAAGTTTACCCACGACACCCGCCAGCCCCCTTGATGGCAGTTGAAAGAACATTTATCAAAATAACCCGCTCATAAACTGAACACTCCAATGGAGCAGAGAGCAACATCCAGCGAGAGAGAGAGAGATGGAGAGAGGGTAAGGAACAACTTTGAAGCAAACATTTCCATTCAGCCAAAAATTGTTTTGAGCTTTGAGTTTTTATTTTTGTTTTGTTTTTTTTTTTCGCCGCCCCATGGGCTGACTGGCTGTACGGGGTGGAGCTGGCAGATTGATAATGCCCCTAAATCCCACCTTGATTTCTGTCTGCAAATGTAAAGCTTTTAGTTTTTGGGGTGTGGGAGGAGGCCGCACTTTGGACTGGAGGTAGGCAGGATTTTTAAGTACAAATAGATGGAGGAAAAAGTTTTAAGCTATTTTCAGTTGGTTACCTGGCCAAGATTTGAACATAAAATGCGAACGAGTTCAAGGAAGAAACCCACCGAAAACATTCGGAAACCTTAAAGAGCATTTCCATCTCATTGATGGAACCCCAGCGACAAATACATATAATTGAATAACTCTTGGGTGGCTGGAGGCAAGCTACGACCTCGGGCTGGGGCATGGGGGAATCGGACCTGTTTTTTTTTTTTTTTTTCAGACTGTCCTGGCCGCCGGGCGATAAGCTTATTACAAAGCTCCTGATTACGGAGCCCAAGCACCCGAACATTCATTCAACGGCTCTGTTCATGTGAGTGGGTGTCGATGGTTGGGTGGGGGTGCGGATGCGGGTGCGGCTCTTACAGCTTGGAATAGTTTTGCCCCCGACTCTTCTGGGGGTGTTCGTTGTGCTGGAATGGGCAAAAGTTTTTTGAACTCTTATGCAGTCGCCTGCAAAGGAGGCGACCTTGACTGGACTAGATTTCCCTACCATACATTTGAATATATATCCTCGCATGTATGGGCATGTCCTTTTTGGCAAACTTGTCATTACCATTTGTCTGTGTGTGTGTGTGTGTGTGTGTGTGTGTGCGTGTGCGTGAGTGGATGTGGAAAAACTGCTAGGGTAAAGTTTCGCAAGTTTTGCCAAAATAGAAATAGCGAATCTGGCTGGGAAATCAAATGGAATATTTAAGGGTTTGTCCATGGATCCAGTGGAAATATTTACTGTATGTTTGTAGCAGGCAGAATGAAAGTCGGCGTGTGATATATATTCGTTATAAGTAACTGTAGATTTTCAGCGCTGTTCTTGTCAAGCTGGGGGACCGTTCGAGAGCCGTGTGGATAGTGAAGAGCAATGCTGGCACGCTCTCAGTAAGCTGTAACTTTTCTGTTAAAGTAGAGCGGTAACAGGCTGTTAAGCTGGAGTGTTAACAGCGCTGTTGCCTAGATAAAGCTGCTTAACATTTTACACTAGTATTTTTTTACAATAGTGTTTTATTCCACCTGCTCAGAAAGAGTATAGCAGCTTCGTTGCACCCCAATGAGATCCTTTTTGTTTTACCCAATTTTCTGCCGTGTCATGCTCATTAAATATGCAAGAGTTCCGGCGTATCTGCAAGATACACGCACCCAAAACACCACCCACAGAGAGCACTGCCCGTCTTATTTATAGCCGACATTAGGCACTTGGCCATCTAAAAATACTGGAAGCCGAAAAAAAGACGAAGCGAAACGCTTTGATGCTGATCCAGTTTGCCACTCACACACACGCACACGCACGAATAAAAGAATGAAAGATACGCGCATAGACCCGGACACATGTATCTTGGGAAATTTCTGTTAATTGGCATTGATGTGTGAGTGAGCCACGCCCCCAGACTGCTGCTCTTTAACACCTCCGACCTCCGTTTCTTTTAATTTGCATGATTAATGGGGCATACAAACACCGGAATTTCCTCGATAATTATACGGACCAAAGGAAAAATTACAAAAGTTTGGTAGTAGCTTCGCTTTGATTGTGTGGCAAGCTCTTTGAATGGCGAGGAATTTTAAATATTTCATGCGCAATTAAAACGAAACTCAATTGATTGGAATTCTCAACATTTTCCGCGCCTAAGTAAATATGATTATGCCCATGCCCTGGCTTTGCTTTCGAATGTTTCCCTTCGTTTTTGCACTCACCTTGGCATTTATTGAAACAGTTCGCCGATCCGTGCCGGCTCCAGGCGCCCGATAAGGCCGGCAAAACTCTGATGGCAATTCCAAACCCATTCCCAAACCCTAACCCTCACCTGCGTTCATTTTGCGCTATTGCAGTTTCTCCCATTACCTGAACTATGCCAGCATGAAGTGGACTCGGGCTGAAACCAAATGGAAGTTCACCTCTTCTCAATAAAGTGCAATCTGGTAGAGTGGCCGAGGGTGGGTTTAAAAGGGGGGAGCGGATGAAACACTGGACACAGACCTTATCCGCACATGGACAGGCTCTGCGGTCCATTCAGGGCGACTCATTCCGGACATTCACGCATTTCGTCGAGCCTTTGGGGCTCGCTCGTATCCCCTCCACAGTGTATGCAATTTTAAGCTTTTATTACGCAACTACCGATGCAGTTTTGAGATAGAAAACGGATTATGTGGCACTCTCTGAGCCTGTCCATGCCTATCCACCAGGGTAAACAAAATATTTAACAATATTTATAAACGAAACGTGTCGTAGCTTCCGAACACTACGGTCTATTTATATCCGTTCAGAGTTTGCTAGCTTAATGCATTTTAAAGGAGCAGCCATACATCAAACCAGGGAGACACCTCTCCACCCCACACTCGGGCAGGTTGCAAATTTGTTCACGTTTTGATGTGAAGCCCAGGTCTCTTGGGGCGACTCCTCTCGCCCTTTTGTTCGGGCTGTGTGGGAAATTTGCCTGCCTGCTGCACCTTCGTTTTCCGCAATGACAAGAACATGTGAACGGTCGGAGGATCGTGATTGAGAACAGAAGGCGTGAGGTAAGATAAAAGCCTGTGCATTCGAGAGAGAGAGCTGCTGGCAACTGATTGATTGGATGGTTATGGAAGAATGCAAATTACTGAGGGAATATACTGAATGGATTTATAGTAACAGAAGTGTGTTTATAATCTGGGGATTACTGAAACGGATTAGAGAGTCTCCAGTGTCTCCACTCCGACTTGCTTCTACTTCTTCGACTCTCTTATGTTTATTTTCGTTGCGTTTCTTTGTATTCAGCTTAAATCGATCGGCAATACCTAACTGTGAATGAAATTGCTGGCAAAACTACACGGGTGGCATTCCTTCCGGGTTGTGTCAATCGTTTCCCGTTGCTGTTGAAATGTCAGCAATTTGTGCGCCGCTATCCTGGCGCCCGACAACTTGGCACGTTCGTCGGGGAGTTAATGCGGGCCAAGCTATTCGAAAATTGATGCATACTACTGCACAATCACAGTTGGATTGACGGGAAAAAAAAGAGGGTTGGGTGCCAGTCGGACAGACAGCGGATGGACACGTGCAGCGTCCGATGGGCAGTGGGATAAAGTGCATACATACGCCGACGAGTACGAGTATACCTGAAACTGATAAGCATTGGAAATCATCATCATCATTGGCAAAAAAGCAAACCAGCCATGTAAACTGCCAGCCAGCCAGCCAGCCATACGAGTATCATTCTCTCGTTTGTGCTCCGGCCACGCCCATGTAAGTACGTCTGTCCGTCTGTCAGTCAGTCAGTCAGTCAAAAATTGCACTCGAATGGACATTTTCTGCCAGCGAATCGAACCCTGGTCGGAGACCATATTCAGCAGTGCCAAGGACTCGGACACGACCAGCAGCAGTATGCGATGCCCTGCCCTGACAGCGCATCGAATGTTGCAAATGGAAGTGCTTTTTCCGCTGGCATCACCCCCGCCCCCATCCAAGGATGATTGGAGGATTGCTCCTCCAAGGGCTGCTGCTGCTTCGCTGTGGTGGTAATTGCAGAAATACTTCTGGGGTTCTGCCACATTTGGTCCTCATACTCTGCATATTTTTAACAATGCTTCATACCACTGTGCCATTCACTCGAAATTCTTATCAATTTATTTTGCTGTTGCAGGCAGACCCCAAATTACAAGCCAATTTACTCTGACAACACAGGAGCAGCATTGCAGGACTTCAGTATCCCCTCCCATATACATAATTTCCTATTCTTGCAGCGCTAATGAGGTTGCAGG